TTATTATACCGCCGGTCTTTCATTCTGCTCACATGGCTCACCCAGTTCCACATCAGCCATGCTATGCGCTGTATAACATCTGTGACGCCTATCCTTATTTTTTCGTTTCTAACTTTGTCTATGAGAGTCGGTACAAGTATCGGGGGTTCCATTCATCTTTAAGCAACTCTGACTTTGGTTGCTGTTGCGCCATAAAGCATGATGGCATACATTGGTCTGGGATTATAAGATGGATTTAATACCTTAATATTGTCAGTAAGTACAAAATCTGTATTCAACGCATCTTAAAGCAGCATTTTCAAAATAGAGATAATCAATATTTTAGCCAAATTCATCAGTAATAAGATAACACGCATTGTCAAAAAAGTCAAATATAATGTTATAATTCTCGAGTCTACATCAGACATTAGTCACACAACTGGACTTATACCACTGAAGAAGGCATGTGCAATTTTCTATTAGAGAGTCTATTACCTAGTCTGCGAAAAGCGAAAAATATAGAGCTTCAGAAACGGATTGTTGATATCAAACGTCGTTATTGAGTCTGCCAGATCTGGTGATGAAATTTCTGGTTCTTTTGATACAAGGTACAGGATGTCTATAATTACCCTTCTGCGTACTCATATCGATCGTAATAAAAGAGCTAAAAGAGCACGTGAAAAGTTTAACTTTAAACTGTTAAGTGAAACAAGTTGGTAAAGTCTATTCAATGCTGTTAGACCTATAATATCGCTTATATCGCCAATTTCGCTTAATGCATTTAACGTTTAGATAACCTTACAAATATTTGGAATTTCAAAGAGCAGACAATAATTTTAAATCACCTATCAAATCAGCAACATTACTTGTTAGAGATTTAGGTATTGATTCTGAATTTCCATCTATTGATCCATCCTGAATTTCCTATCTCGAAACCCAGGTAAAAGGTCTGTTTATTTGATTACGAGTACAGTGATGAACCAGTTTTAAATCCCGTCCAGCAGTTTAAGACTGCTTTCTATTTTGCAATTATTGGACACACCATCTTCACGACAAATGAAAGATTATCTGAGTGCTGTTCAATATGTTGCGTAACAACAATACTTAATATTTTTAGTCTATTTTTGTATCATATTATTTAGTTTATTTTTGTATCATACTGTATATTAGTTTAGATATATAAAATTTCTTTGTACTAACAAATAATCTGTAAAGCGCCGTTATCTTGCATTTAAATAACTTTCTACACAAGTTTCTAAAACCTTCATAGAATCGTAACAATGAAAGGATTAGTATTTTCCAAATTACCCTCTGACGCATTCCAAAATTCCGCAAGTTGAGACAAATACCCTTATCAGGTAGTTTTTATCAATGATTTGAAAGTTAAAGGTATTTGAAAAATAAACATATCTTTTAATACGTCGAGGGGTCAGGGGGGAGATTTCGGAATGTTTGTGATTGAGGGGAGAGAGTGGACATCAGTTCGCAGTTCAAATCCATCAAATCAGTATCAGTTCAAATTCCAGCACTGAAGAAGCGTCAGGCTCTACTCGCCCCAGCGGCATATTAGTGTTTTAAACCAGTCGGTATATTAATAAGTTCGTGTCAATATTGTACGACATGGTATCATATGCAAGTTATCGGCGTTTAAAATACATTGTATTTGTTTAAATATATTTGTTCAAACGTTCTTTTCGAATCTTCATTTTTCCCAGTTTTCTGGGTGGTCCTTCAAAGAAATATATATATATATATATATATATATATATATATATATATATATATATATATAAAGTGAACCTATTTCCCTAAGGAAAAACCTTGTTCCCCAAGGGAAAAAACCAGCGACCTATTACTGGTGCGTGAAACAAAGCCATCAGGACAAAGATGTAAGGACAAACACCTACACCTTCGCTCACAATATTCTAATGTATAAATGAGTTTCGTAACATTTCTAATAATAACTTGTTTACAGCCTGTATGGACTTAGATATTAAGTTACAGGTACTCTGGAAAAGGTTACCGAACTTATTGACAAATTTGCTTACCAGAAAGCCAGAAAATAATTATTGGTATTATTAGGTACTGATTTCTTAGTTTATAAATAATTATTGTTATACTGTTGACTGTTGACGAAATTAAAAATGCGCTTCGGGTGATGAAGAACAATAAATCCCCAGGTGAAGACAGGGTAATGACCGAAAGCCTAAAACTAGGAGGAAATAAGCTCTTACTGACACTTGCTAAACTGTTCAATAAATGTCTGTGCGAAGCGATAACACCGACGCAGTGGAACAACGCGGAAATCATCTTACTTCATAAGAAGGGAGATATCAGCGACCTTAGAAACTACCGCCCCATTAGCTTGTTGTCACAAGTATATAAGCTATTTACAAGAGTTATTACCAACAGGCTAGGAAGTAAGTTGGATTTCTATCAGCCAAGAGAGCAAGCAGGTTTTAGAGCAGGATATGGCACGAATGATCATTTACAAGTAATTAAGAACTTAATAGAAAAGAGTGTTGAATATAACAAGCCATTAGTCATGATATTTGTTGACTACGAAAAAGCTTTCGACACAATAAGTCATCAAAAGATGTTAAAAGCCTTAACAGAGTGCCGTATAGATCATCGCTATATAAACATGATAAAATACATCTATCAAAATGGGACAGCAAGCGTGAAACTGGCAGATAAAAAGACCAACGTATTTAAAATAAAACGGGGAGTGCGACAGGGAGACACAATTTCGCCAAAATTGTTTACAACATTATTAGAGCATATGTTTAAGAACGCAAATCTGAGTGAAAAAGGAATTAATGTCAATGGAGAAATGCTTAGTCATTTGAGGTTTGCTGACGATATTGTCCTTTTTGCTGACAGAATCGATGATGCAGTATCGCAACTGGAGAAACTATACCTAGCCTCCCTACAAGTTGGATTAAAAATCAACCACACAAAAACACAAATCATGACAAATCTTGTGTTAAGCGAAAAGATTTCAGTAAATGGCATGCATATTGAAGAAACCACCTCTTATAAGTACTTAGGACATGAGATACGCATAGGAAGAGATAATCAAACGTGCGAACTAAGCCGCCGCATAGGACTCACTTGGGTGGCATTCGGCAAGCTGAGCTATGTTCTTAAATCAGAACTGCCTATGTGTCTTAAAAGAAAAGTCTTTAATCAGTGCGTGTTGCCAGTACTTACATATGGTGCAGAGACATTAACACTAACCAAGAAAGTAAGAAATAAAATTTGTGTTACCCAAAGAGCCATGGAACGATCGATGTTAGGCATTTCTCGTAGGGATCGGATCACGAACAAGGAAATAAGACGGAGAACAAGAGTGACAGATGCCATAGAAAGAATTATGACCCTTAAGTGGAACTGGGCGGGGCACATAGCTAGAATGTCGGATAACAGATGGACACAGCGAATAATACAGTGGAGACCGAGACAAGAAGCACATCGAAGTAGAGGTCGTCCACCAACAAGATGGTCTGATGACATAAAACGGATCGACAAAAATTGGATGCAAACAGCACAAAACAGAAATACATGGAAAAGACTGAGGGAGACCTATGTCCAGCAGTGGATAGATCCGGGTTAAATGATGAAATAATTATTATCACTATTCGGTACTGATTTCTAAGTTTATAAATAATTATTAGCACTATTAGGTAGTGATTTCTTTGTAGAAGGACTGACTTATATACTTTTTCATTTCACGACATCTATCCAATGAGGTTGATCAACTGCTTAATATTCCCAATACTGACCTACAGATGTGAATCTTGGACTCTGAGACAATCGGAGAGAAGAAAGATAGACGCCACTGAAATGTTCTGCTGGAGACGAATGTTACGAATTCCTTGGACCGACCGTAGAACAAATAATTCAATTTTAAGAGAGCTAAAAGTTAGCCAACGACTCTCTAGTAAAGTCCATCTCCAACAATTAAAATATTTTGGGCATGTTATGAGAGCAAACACAGAAAACATGGAAAGACTCATAATACAAGGAAAGGTAGAAGGCCGAAGATCACGAGGAAGTTCCCCAACAAGATGGATAGATCAAATTACAGGAATATGCCAAAGACCTATGCATGAATTAAAAGAAATGACCAGAGGCAGAGATCTTTGGAGACGGACAATACACGACATCACGTCGACCACTACACTCCCCCTGGGGGTGTCAGGATTGAAGAGAGAGAGATCCATAAGTACTTTTTCTTATTAGATTGTATTTTTTGAGTGAATACCATTGTTTTGTATTTCTGATCATAAAATATATATTTTATTGAACAGGTTTTACTTTTGTTTGTTTAGTATATTGGTATAGTATTTTTTCACTATTATAACCTGGCTGCAAAATATCTTCAACAAACTTCAAAAATACACTATAGGCTTACAAGAAAATAATTTTGTATTTTAGCAAATGATTTTGCTCAGGTAAAGAAAAAGAAACTTCCTGAATCCTCGATTGAAACTGGCTTAGCAGGAAATACTGGTATTATGAATTCATGAATCGTGGCAAGGATGCTCTTTCTCTTCGAAAACCACGGGCAACAAGATTATCCCGTTCCACCAGTTTCAATAGGTACAATTTTTCCAATTTTTTTGACAAACTCAAAGGTTTGATGACAGGAGAACATTTTACTCCAGAAAGAGTGTATAATATAGACGAAACTGTAATGTCAGCTGTGCGTAACCGAACAATTTATTGTGTTTTTACCCTCTCTTCCTATAGTACATGTCCATGTGTCCCAAGGTAAGGGATGGCGTTGTACCTTGAGAAATATACTAAGTTTAAAAAAAATTATTTTTCAGATATTTATAATCAACATATTGGAAAACTGTCCCACTGTACAGTATAACAACGCTTTTCTTTCAAAATCGTCGATTTGTTTGTTAAGATTCTCATGACGTATTGATGAATTTATACTTTTAGTATTTTCTAGGAAATATTTCCATATGTCTCTATATCTATATCTTATATATGTCTCTATTTTTTAGGATCAACAGCCGGTGAAGTAAAAAGTGTTGTTGTAGCTAATTGCCCTGGTGATAGATGTATCTTAAAAAGGGGAACTAATGCAACATTGGCCATTACATTTATTTCAAGTAAGTGCGAATTACGTTTAATATATAGTAGTCTTTATAACACATATAATATATATATATATATTAATAAGGTTCCATAAATTTCAAAAATCAAATAGAAAATATTAAGACAAAAATCAAATCACCGACCAACAGAAATCGCAAACACCCTGTATATGATACTATTTAACATTAGTTGTAGAAAGTGTTTTAGAAAATTGTAGAAATTAGACAATAGGGTAGGTTTGTAAATAGTTTGTGAGAGGTAATTATCCTTTTTTCTCTAGAAATTGAAAATGTTTATTAGATGACCGACGGATTATTGGATAGGAGAAAGTTAGTCTTTTTTTCTTTGAAGAAAGTAAAATTTGTTTGGATGGACATACGTTCTGATTGGTTCAAGAAAAAAGAGGAAGGAGATAAAAGGATTTTGGATAGAGTTTTGCAAGAGAGAGGAAGGCATTGTGAATTGAATATCGGGCGAGTATAATATGGTTTTTTTTGTTGCTATAGTTTTGAGACGACGTTGCTAATTAGACAAGTTTTCTTTTTAAAGTCTAGATTGTGAAAAGTTGTATTTGTGTTTGGTGGAAAAAGTTCCAACTGTGGTAGCAGACAGAAGAAATAATTGACATGCTTTAAGTAATAAACACATGTATAGTTTTATACTGGACCAAATTGATTAGTTGAGATATTCTTTGTGTCTGGAGAGGAGGAGTTTATTCATGTAGTAAACATTGGGAGCAGAGGAGTTTAGCAGAAGTATTCTGGAGAAACTGAAAGATACGAGCAAGGTAGACAAGGCACAATCAAAGGAGAGAGAGGTGAAATCATCAATTGTGGGAACAAAAGGTTCAACAGAGACCTTCAATCACGACCACCTATTTAAATTAGTTTTATTCATTTTTTTGTTTTTATTGAGAATTATAATACATGATAATTTATCGGGAGTCACTAAAATTAAGAAATTTTAGATTTGCATATAAGCTTAACTTGTATTGATAATTGTGGATATATGATTTGATCGATGTTTGAGATTTTTATTCTAATCATTGTATATGGTATATTTATGTTTATTCAAAATTTTTACTTTTATTATTTGATTGGTCGTTTTTTATAACATTTGCTTTGTAGGTAAGTCATAAATTGTGCTGTAATTTTATTTTCCTATTGTCTATCCTTTGTTTTCCTCAAAGGTAACTAGCAAAAAATACTTTGAAGCCACGTTTTGTTTTAATAAGTAAAAGAGCCCTGAGATATCATATTAATTTGTTAAAAAATAAATATTGTAAACATACAGTTTGAGCAAATCACAACAATATATATATATATATATATATATATATATATATATATATATATATATATATATATATATAGGAAAAGAGAAATAATGATAAGACTTCTTCTTCTTGCTATGCCGTCCCCATTAACGGAGGTTGGCGACCACATTTCTAAAAGTTTCTCTGTCTTTTGCAACGTGGAATAATTTATCTACAGTCATGTTTTTGCCATCGACTCATACCCTGCATGATGACCTGCAGAAGAGTATATTTATCATTTCTCAGTATGTGTCCAAGGTATGCAGTCTTGCGTACTTTTATTGTTCTCAACAATTTTTTGTCTCGACCCTTCCTTCTCAGCACTTCCTCATTGGTGACCCTGGCAGTCCATGGAATTTTCAACATTCTCCGGTATATCCAAAGTTCAAAGGCTTCAAGCTTCTTAACTATTTGAGCTTTTAACGTCCATGCTTCTACCCCGTACAGTAGTTGGGACCAGACGTAACATTCAACAAACCTCAGTCTCAGCGCAGTATTCAAATTTTTGTGACAGAACAATTGCTTGAATTAAGAACGCTGCCCTTGCCATTTTTATTCGTACTCTGATCTCTTTGTCTGGATGATAAGACTTACAATCAATTTATTCTAGCACCAACGATCGGATTTCCATACTATAATTGAGGAGGTAATTTTCATAACCCCATATCCAAAAATATTTTTTTTTAATTAGTGATGTTTCTAATTGGTCCTTTTAAAATACATTGCCTGTCATGTTTATTGCCGATCAAAAACATACATTTCCAGTTGTAATATTATGTAAGTTGTAATAGTAAGTAAGTCGTTGTAATATTAAGTAAAGCCGAAGATCACGAGGAAGATCCCCAACAAGATGGATAGATCAAATTACAGGAATATGCCAAAGACCTATGCATGAATTAAAAGAAATGAAGAGAGACAGAGATCTCTGGAGAAGGATAATACACGACATCACGTCGACCACTACACTCCCCCTGGGAGGTAAGGATTGAAGAGAGAGAGATTAAGTAAGTTAGAAGTAGGTGTTTTAAAGCAAAACCCCACATCTGATGTGTGACGCTTATAGCAAAGCCCCACATTTTCTATTCAGCCATAGAGGAGTAAGTATTCCAATCACTTGACATAAATACATGGTTTTGATTTGATTGTTATTGTTGACAGTACACAATCTTAACAGGTTAGTTTTAGAGGAAAATTATAATTTAATATTGGTTTGTGAAATTGAGTGAAATTATGAGTTTAAATTAAGATAATTTAGATAGTGAATTAGTATTAGTTGGAAGAATACGTTCTGGATCACGAAAAAGATAAAAGATAATTACCTACCGATTTCCTCTTACTTCTTTGGGTAGCGTAACTGTGTTTTTGCATCTTACCTAGTTTACATCAGAAAGAGTTGGACGACTTGTGTCAAAACTAAAAACTAACCAAGGACTAGAGAACAACAGAGGAGAAGATAGAATAAGCCAAAGATCACTGATTAAGAAGGAGGCGGTTCGCCACTTTATTGGAAATTTAAAAGTACTGAAAGTCACTACAACCGCAACAAATCAAAAAGAGTATATTTAAGTAGTGATCTTTCAATACGAAAACTTCACATGATTTATAATGCTAGTGCAGAAAATCCCCAACTCCAAGTAAAGTTATCTTTCAAGTCTCCGACATCTGAAATCAAAGTGTTTCTATGACGTAATGAAAGAAACCAAAGAAAAAAAGAAAACTTTATGCTTTGACATGCAACAGGTACAACCACTTTCTCGGACGCCTATTCAACGGGCTTTTTATGCCAGACAATTCTTTACAATGTTTGTGTAACAGATATTAAAAATGACAACACCCCATACTTTTATATCTAGACCGAAGAGCAAAAAGGGCGCGGTTCAACCAAAATAGCTTCTGTTCTTCTTAGTTATCTTTAATCAGATGACCTTACAGATATGACTTACCTGAGATTGTTTTGTGATGGATGTACAGGTCAGAGCAAAACCAATATTGTGCTTCATACTTTAATGTCCTTTTTAGCAGCCCACGAAGACACCTTGATACAAATTACTATTAATTTCGCTGTCAGGGGCCATTCTTTCTACCAGCCGATAGGGTTTTTCGAAGAGCCGAGAAATTGTTGCGGAAGAAACCTACTTTTATTAATAAAGAAGAGTACCTTAAATAATATAAAAAAGTTGGAACTGTGAAGGTACTTGGAACAAGTTGGTCTCTGAAGTAGTGAAGCCACTTGCTAATAATTATTTAAAACACTTATTTAAAATCAGTGACATAAAAAGAATTTTCATTGAGAAAGTTGTGACAAAGAAAAAATTACAGGTATGAGTTAAAGGCAATGAAAGGTTCTATCGGTTTGAACAAGATCTACCCAAATACAGCCTTCTAAAGAACACACGACTTGGAAAAAAATACTGGAAAATCCTCTTGAAGAAATTTATTTAGTTCATCCCGTAAGCGCAGCAAAAAAGAGGGATGTGAACGGACTGTTAACTATTCTTTTTGATGCAAAACTGGTAAGTGGTACAAAAACATTATTGTTGCTCAAAATGTAGATGGACCTGAAGAAGAGGAGGAAGTTGTTTGCGACTGTTTAGAAGAAGACTGTGCCCATCACTTGTAATACCCTAGATTATTATCTAATATTGATATAAGGTTGAATGCTGGAATAAATGAACTTAACTGAAAAATTAAAGGCAGATATCGAGCACAATTTTATTCATCAATCTTGCCCAAGTACTTTCCCTTTCTAAAGCATCATCAGGGGCATCTGAAATAAGTCAAGAAACGTTTTTTTTTAATAAAGAAAGTTTATTAACTTATATAAGAAGAAATAATCCGATGCTAAACTATAGTCAATTGATTTGATCAAAACACCACATATCCAAACCTATTATATTCATAACCCCACATATGAAATTTGTTTTATGCATAATCCCACATCTAACAACTTTTATATTATATTTTAATTTGTTATACCATTTTCTACACAATTAAATAGTTTTCTTAGCTCATAAACTAATACTGAACCATAACTATAGTACATAAAATATGTTTTGGTAAAATAATTTAGATGAATCGGTTTGTTTAACTCTCCTGAAAAATAGCGAATGCGGACATGTGGGGTTATGAAAATTACCTCCTCAATTTTCTGTGCATCCTCAGGCCAGCGGTACATCACTCACTGCTAAATTCTCATCGGTACTAAATGTAAGTTAAAATTTTTAGAAAAGACATCAATCAAAAACAAAAATCTAAACTGATATGTCTAAAATTGTAATTACTGCTACAATTACTGTACACTTTTTTTAAATAAATTGCTTAAGATACGTTTGTATCTAATAACTAGTGCTAAGCGCCAATATACCAGATAATACGTCCAAAAAGATAATAATTTTATTCATAAAAAAATTATTTTCTTGAATTGGTAATATACTGGCTCTAAGAATTTTGATAACATGAAGTCCAGGGTCAAATATTTTTAACATATTTCTGTGTTGATTGCTATAATTTCAAGATAAACAGAATATATCGGTAAATAGAAAGTGAAGAAATTATTGATTATTGATAAATATTCTTATTTGTATGAAAGTATATTTAAAAGGGCAACGATTATCGAAAGGCTATCGGGGTGTCCGGGCACTTTTAGTTTTGTTGAGAGTCTAATAATATGTCAATGTCCGATAAATACTTTAATAATCA